CACGACTCCACTGCTCGCGTCTATCACGTTCTCGATGCTCGTGTCTATCACGTTCTCGATACTCGTGTCTATCACGTTCTCGATACTCGTGTCTATCACGTTCTCGATACTCGTGTCTATCACGTTCTCGATTGTTGTAAAGGCTCATTTTAATTATATAGTCTACCCCCTTAAGTCAGAATTAAAATTACAAATACGCCGATAGAGGGCGCACGTCAGTTTAAAGATTACGAAATACAATTGTATTTAGCAATTCACTGAATCGTAACCACGTTACGAGGACGTCCCGGCTGACGTTTGGGTGCACACTTTTTACACACGCCGTTAATTGTAACCTTGCATCCTATACCGCATACGTTGCACGGAACTATCTTGCTATTGTGTATTATCCTATACTTGTGATAGGCGCAATACCCCTTTAGATGATCGGGTAGCGAGTCTTGATCTCGATGGATAATCTTGCGACATAAATCGGTCGAACCCATCTTGAGATAACGACAACCGTTTACATCATCACCCTCGACGCGTCGACTAGGCGATCGACGTTTTAAGAGTATCGCGTTGCTTACAACTTGTCCACCGCATCTATAACAAATATTGTGTAGTATAGTCCTACAACCCCTACCACATTTTTCGCACGAAACTGTACCCCCACCTCGCACGATTCTAAACTTGTGACCGCGGCAATATCCGCGTAGATGCTCGGGTAGCGAGTCTTGATGCTTCAATATTGCTTTTCCACACAATTCGATCGAACCCATCCTGAGATAACGACAAGAATTTTGCGTCATTTTTATTACAACGTGTTTTCCCCTTAATCCATTTTTCATTTAGGCGGTAATTGCGTGTCAAAGGGAACGACCAACAATTCTTCTCGTACAAAACTCCTCGGTACGCCTTGTAAAAAATACAAGACGGGTTGTTTGGGTTTGATCATGACGTTTCGTATGTCGTACGTATCGATACTCCATATCGGATCGGTAGCTCTGCGTCTTTCACCCCCTTCCAATTCTCCGGGTCTGTACAGGTATCGTACGCGCAAGCTCGAATCCAAGACGTGCTCATCCAATCCAACGGGTCGATTATACTTGGGTTCGTATTTAATTTCGTCTCGCCTACGTACGGCCTCGTCGGGACCTTGAGCGTTTAACTCAGTCAAAACGGGTCTTAGATTTTTTACCCATTCCACGTTGCGTTTTGTCGGATCCACCATTTCTCGCGCATACTGATGCGGAAACAGTTTGCTGGCAAGAGTCTTGTTGAACCTTTCGACGATTCCTTGCGATTTGTGATTACCGGGTACTCCCACGCTCACACGTACATTATGCCCCTTCATAGCTTTTAACGTTTCGCCTTTAAATTCGCTACCCGAATCGACTTGTAACGTTTCGGGCCGTGTCAACTCTCGCGCATAAATCTTGTCAAAGGCTCGTGCAACCTCTGTCGATTTTTTGGTCGTTAACGGTTCCGCTTCCTTGTATCTACTCGCCACGTCGACGACCGTCAAGGCATACTTGTACGTTTTTCCTCTATACCTATCGTGCGGTAAAAAGAGTAGGTCGGCTTGATGGACTTGGTTTACCGAGACGCTTTGCCTCGTCGGTACGCTCGGTACGTGTTTAGGTGGTGCAAGATAAATTTGCCACATGCTCTGTTTAAACAGCCACTCTTTTACAGCATCTCGCGATATCCTCGTCTTGGCGGCGAGTTGATCGATGGCCCCCTCACCCTGCCATAAATGTTGAGGAGCGTAGTATACACGTTCGAGTTTGCGTATTTCGCGTTTCGTACTCATATTTACAAGTTTTTACACGCAAAACTTATAAATATTTTATAGACACGTACGCGATAATGCTCAATACAGCGACCAAACCGACCAGCTCTGCATCTTGCTGCGATTCGCTAGGCGTATAAAAGTCAGTCAGCTGCGGTTCTCGCTCGAGTTGTAGGCGATCGGGCGTTCCACCCATTCTATAGTATTCTCTCATTGCAGATTCAACGTCCGAAAAGGTTCCTCGGGCGTGCTGCTCGCGTCCAAGTTTTTCGTTGAGATAATCGAGTTG